TTTTTTTTTTTTTTTTTTTTTTTTTTTTTTTTTTTTTTTTTAGTAGGACGCGTTCCCCGCTACATCAAAAGGAAGCCAAGGGAGGGCGGAGAGAGAGCGGGGACTAGGGCGGGCGCGGGCTGGGGAGAGGCCGGGGCGCCTGCGACCTTATCAATAGCCCAGGGAATTAGTATCCAATCTACCGTAGGTAAAGAAAGGGGAGGGAAGGGGGAGGGCGAGGAAAATGTCTAATTGCTGTGGAAGCCATTAGCTTTCGGGAAGCAAAAAGCTCACTGAGAAACCCAACTTGCAACTCAAAATGAAACAGTCCTACGTAGTGGATGACACTCAGGCTGAGTACAGTGTTCCTCGGAATAGAGTCGGTCCCTAACAATTACCTATTGATTTTAGTCAACTTGGACTTCCCGACTCAAGCTTGAGTCACTCCGGATAAATATATTAACTTACATTTTAAGACCCGACCCCATAAAGGAATTAACTCAGACTTCACCCCAGCCACCTATCAGCGGTTCAAAGAAAGCTGCTGGGGGGGGGGGCGGGGGCGGGTAGGGGGGGAGAGAGGTATTTTTAAAGTATAAATCTAGCCTGACAGGCAAGGACAGAAGTCGGCGAAGGCTTCCAGCCTCTTGACATCACTTGATAACTAACCCAGCACGGTCTTCTCTCCACCTCCCTGCAGGGAAAGCATCCCCAGTCCTGGGCTCCTGAAGTGGGGAGGGGGGGGAGGGGAAGAGGCGGGTGGTCGTCCTCCCCGCCTGGCCCACCCTGGGGAGAGATCCTGGGTGGCGACATCTCAAATCTCAGAAGCGCGCCGAGGGCCCTCTCGCCCCTTCCCTCCCCTGTACCCTCACCCCTACTCCTGTCTGGCTTCCCTGAGAAATTCCGGCGGGGCGCGGGACTGGGGGAGCGGTAGTCGCGAAGGGGAGGGGCACAAAGGGGCGCGGGCGGATGCCCCCTCTCCCCGTGGCCTCTTCTTTCACCTAGACCCACGAGTGCGGACGCTTCCCGCGTGGCAGGCTCGCCTCTTCAAGTTCCCCCATTCACTTCCCCTTCCTATTACGGGCTGTTCCCGAACATTAACCTCGCATCGAATCAGTCCCCCAGTCGGGTTTCAGTCTCCAACGCACGGGGTGGGGCGTGAGAGGGTGCGGAGGTTGGCAGGAATGTCTCCGGGAGGCTTGGGCTGGAAACTGAGTTTTCCCTTTGGGTCGCCACTCCGACCATGTGTTAAGATCTTAATTTTGCTTGTTAAAAAGCACTGCGCCTAGCACGCGGGAACAGGCACGTTGCCTTCTGGGCAAACGTGGGCATTTTCTTTGCGTATATACTCAGGTTTAGAGAAAAACCCAATCTCCTGTGCTCTGACTTTTAAGTCAAAACTGGTCACTGTGGGGGAAAAAAAAAATATGTTGGTTCTTCCTTATCCCCTTTTCACCCTCAGGGAAAAAAAAAAAAAATCCTGTCCTTTATAGAATCAGTGATAAACTTTGGTGAACATAAGTTTTATTGGGCTTTTATTCCTTTCTGTGCCCGCTCCCCACCCCCTACTCCCCGCGTTTTGGAGTTTCGGTTGGAAAGTGTACAAAACCCTGTAGGTGTAGGGTGCAGCCGGCTGTTGGGTGTCTATAGGCACATTTCTGCAGGAACCTGCAAACGCTAAGCACACATGCTCCCAAGCTCACCTGGCAGCTGCCGGCGGGCCAGGTGATCACGTTGTCGGCTCAAAGCTATAGAGGCGCGCGAGTTCGAGCCCCGCTGCCTCCCGGCAGGGGCGCTCCGGCCGGGTGGGGGGAGGGGAGTGAGTTCAACCTGGGGATTGGGGACCATCGCCCTCCCCCTAAGTCCTCCAAAGAGTTGGACTGTGTCTGTGGTTCTCCACTGAGGGATGATCTGACAATGAAACCCAAAACCCCGACGGTTAGTTAAAAGTAAGTGGTAAATGTCCTAGTCTAAGCTCCTGGCTCCCGGGACACCAAAAAGAACTAGAGAAAGTACAGAAAGAGAAATGGGGGGGGGGGGTCACAGGAAGGGAGTGAAAGCGAACTGGAAGAACGTGCGAAAGGAAAAGGACAGGTCGGGACGGAGGGTACAAGGGCAAGGAAGGTGCGTAGGGACGAGCCGATGGAAGGCTTCCCAACGCCGGAGCCCTGGGACTCCAGGTGTGAATACGTTTCCGGGACCCAGTCGCCGCCCACCCGTCCCCAGTCGCCTCTCTGGGGCGCTCCGGATCCAGCGGGGGGCAGCGTCGGGCCCGGCCTGTGCATTAACACTACCCTTTCGGTGTGTCTCAGCCCGAACCGGGGCTGTGTGCCTGAGGCAGCAGATGCGGTAGGCGTGGGTCAGGAAGGCTTGCGCCTGCCGTCTGTTCACCCACCTAGCCTCACTCCCCTCCCTTGGAAAAAAATAAATAAATAAAAAGACCCGAACTTCCCCCTCTTCCTGTCTGATTCAGCTGCAGGACACGCCTCACGAGGCCGAAAATAGCTCTGGAAATGCATTTAGGTTTATAAAAGTGAATTTTCCAATAAGATTTGGGGCAGGGGGCGCCTGGCCCGCGGCGTCGGCGGGGCCCGGCCTCCCTGGAGGAAAAGGAACCGGCCGTCTCGGGGCTTCGCCCTCCCCCCGGCGCGCCCGGGAGGGGGCCGCTGGGCGGCGGAATCGCGCCTCCGCTCGGGGAGCCACCACGCGGCTTTTTCGCGGAATTTTGACGTCACCCACACGTGGGGGGAAGGGGCTGGGAGAGCGAGAGGAAGCGGCGGGGGAGGGGGCCGCGGGCGGGGGAGCGGCGCGGGGCGGCGGCGGCGTGTCCGGCACCTCGCGGTGGGCGCGCGAGCCGCGGGAC